AATGTTGAATATTTCAAAAATTTTAATTTATAAAATTATTTGTACATTTTAAATGATGTGAATTTTGTTAACATTTAAACTTAAAATGCTTATTATAAAAATCGTACCTATGTATTTTAAATATTTTTTAACTAATATTGTAAATATCTACCAGGAGCATTTTATTGAATTTTCAAGCTTTTTTCCCCAACAAATACAATTTTATTAACGATTATGGAAAAAAAAAACTAAATAAACTAAAAAAATTCAAAATTCAATTTGTTTGTAAGCAGCTTAAAGCGAGTCAAAATAATTTGAAAATTGTATTATAAGTATATGAATTGGAAATATAAACAAATGGTGTGAATTTTATATATTTGCAGCAATTATTAGTTTTTCAATTTCAAAAAAATAAGTAAAAATCACTATATGAGATATATTTATTTATTTATTTATTTATGAAACGGGACAAGCCCAATACAAATGTTGAAATTAATCTTAAAACTAAAGTATGTACAGTAAAAATATAAGAAATTAAATGAACATTGTAAAACATTACCTTAGGAATGGTTTAGCCCCCCAATAGAAACGATGGATCCTCATTCGCTAGTCGCATCATGCGTTACATAGGACAGTTTCGCAAATAATTCACAGAATAAAAGGGAATATGGAATGGAAAAATACTACGAGAATTAAAAACTGGGATTCTAAAATTAAGTTTGTTTAAAAGAACAGGTGAGTCAATTTGACCATTAATCAGTTTTGCCAAAAATGATAGGTTTGTTTGAACCTATTTGAATATATGGAATGAATATCCAATTTTGTCAAAATTTCAGTTTTAAATGATTATAAAAATTTAACTAATTTAATTATCTACACTTTTACTCTCCCAAAATAACGTGATAACAGAAAAAAAAGAAAATCAATTGTAAAATCAATACATTCATCGCTCCGCTCGGAATCTAAAAGAAGTTAAAAAGTTAAAATTGATATAACTTAAATTTTTTAACTCGTATACACCCAGGTTTGAATAACTACAAAATTTTAGAATATATGAACGCCCGTGTCTATTTATTTCATTACTATTTATTCTATTATATAAAGATAATTATACTAGTATAAAAGTATATTTTTCATAGTCACTCGTACGGGGTGATTACTTTTTAGGATAGTGAGTTTACCACTCTGTGAACATTTTTGTTTTTTGGATACAACTATACTATAATGTAATATTAATATATTATAATAGAACAATGAAATATATATAACACTAAATTACCTAATAGTGTCCTATAACTGCTAACTATTATAAGTTATAAATTAAAATTGTGTCTTATGACTTTATGAGTAATCACTTGTAAGTATTATCACACGGTATTTCTAAACTAAACCGTATAATGAATATCTATTTCAAGTATTTAAAAAAAGGTTATAATTATAAAATGACTCTACGATCAGGGAGCAGAAAAACGACGACGACGAGCGCGTTTGTATATTATTTGATCCCTCGTATTTTATGCATTTGCTCTCAGAAATAAAATATGTGTCTACATAGGGGTAGTATATTTTTCATGAAATTACATTTTTATTTGAAGTATAAAAAATAAATTTAATCACCAAAAAAATATGAAACCAAAATTAATTACTTTAAACATCGACGCTTTCGGGCTTCGGCGGAATTGTGTGTGCACTACGAAATAAATCAGATATACGGCTGAACTTAAGTCTGAAAATATTGAGATTTATTATGAAAAAAAAAACCGTACGGATATTTTCATGTTTCTTGTTCATGTCTGCAGCTTTGCTAACTGAAATTTTAGATCGTTTGCGTCTTTGCAACTACTTCGACAATCGCCACGGATTGCATTATAATTTATACTACGTCAATATGATAAAACCATAGATATATAGTATATTACACATTTTTTTATCAAGGAGGTCTGTGTTTGAGATTTGATCATTATGATAATGAAATGAAGTATAACAATAACCAAAATAGTTTATAATTTTAAAAAAATTACAACAATATATAAAGTACATATTATTTTAATAATTAATAAAGGTGGTATTTAAATATTCGAAGCACAAGCATATTTTTTTATGACTTATTAAATAAAAATCTTGTTGTAAATAAATGTGATTACTACTTTTTAGATTTAACATAAAGGTATTCAGTGTCTAATGCATCACATTGACCGTATACCGACTATACCAACTATAGTTTGTAAAATTCCAAGTTAAATCTTTTCTCTGAATACTGTCGAGCACGAAATTAATAATTATTATTTTATGTATTAATTTTGAGTGAATTAGTTGTTTATATTTTAAGCTATTCGAGAATATTAAAAATTTCCTTATTTAATTTCCTATAGATATTCAATAATCAGCAGAGCGATTTTCCCAGCTTTATAAAATAATTTGATGTTTGATGTACGACGGCGTCACTTTAATTTGCGGTTCGACCACAAGCAGACGGCATAGTAATATTCATATATTACTGAACATTTATGTAAACTAAAAATAAAAATTGTTGAATTTTGCGGGATATAAGAACTTCCGTGTACTGTACTACTGTAGTATGACTAGTATGTACAACACTATTTATATATATTTAATTGTATAAATATGTTATTATTCTGCGACGTGGATATGCCGTCGTCTTTTGGGCTAGCGTATTTGTTTGTGTTGCGCGCTCGGGAACAAAACATATGCCCCTACTTCACCCGGGTAGCAAATGGTCTGTGGCAATACATTTTAATTTTGAGACTAAAAAGGTAAATATTTGAGCCCCAAAAAAATAGGTGATCAAACTTACGTATACATCGACTCTTCGGGTAATATATAGCATTATAGCTGCAAGGCCATATCTTGAGTTCAGACGCCATATCGAGGAACTTCTTTCTTCAACTAAATCCGAACTGAATAAATCGAATTTTTTATAAACATTTCTTGAATAGAATGAAATATGTGAGTAAATGTTTATTGTTGCCTTACACATTTTGTTCAATGAAATTATTATAATTGTGAATCATCTCCGATGAGTGACGACGATTGGCTTTTGCCATAGATGATAGATATTAGATATTATAATATAATATGTTGTTATCAGTTTTCGAGTTTTTGTATTCTTTGGATGACACGATATATTTTTTATTTATTTTTTTAAACAGAATATTATTCGGAGTGTATAAATCTATGTAATTTAGAACACGGAACTCTGCTTATAGGACATTTAGATACACTATTGTGGCGAGTCCATTTTTTGTCCGGCATCTCACAATATTCATCTCATAATATTGTTTTTTGTCTTAACGGTTAAACTATAACTTAATACAAAACTCTAGAAGTGTCGAGACATGAAAAAAAATCAAAATTAGGCTTTGAAATTTATTGAATTAATAAAAAAATGGATACTTTAATCGTGAATATAATATTATCTCTGGGCTCGGCATTGATTTGTTATTAAACAATATTATTCTATAATAGTGTGCAGTCACCGATGTATTTGCTAAAAAATTGTGTGATTATATTATACTACTACACTATAGTGTAATAAAAAATATATATACAGCCGTGTAGGTACTTAACTAAGGCTCTCATTGCCTCTCACATAAAGGTAAGTGACGGGTTGAAAAACCTTATAAGTTATAAGTTAAAAGAAGGTACCATAGGTACCACAATGCCAGCTATACTTTAAGAGGAAGTTTCTTTTATAATAATTATTATTAAAGTCTTAAAAAACCAGATTGCATTAAAAAATTAACCAGTATTTACTTACTTCAATATTTAATACTATAAGTATGTGAAATAGATTTTGAAATAAATGTTGATGAAGCGATTAACTAATATGCAAATACTTCAAGATTCATTATTCGATTAAACAAAAAAATGAACAGTTGTTAATTGTGGTTTTATTCTGATAAATAAAATTATTATAATGGTTGGTAGGTATATGATTATATGAGTTCTCAGTTTTGTTATTTCTATATTTATGTTAATAATAATATGATATGTTTACCAATGTTTATCAATATATTGTATATATACTCGTAAGTATCATATTTACTATTTGTATTTAATCCAAATAAAATTTGGCAACTGCAGCTAAATTTGGAAGAAAATTTAACTACCTAGCTAGTTGTAACTTAGGTATATAGATATTTATTTACTACCTATATGCCTATTATGTATTTTTTGGTTCATGGTGTAAACAATTTAAAGGTTGGTTTGTCCCTAATAAATAATCTTGTCATAACCCCACAGTTGGGTAGACCTATTTTTTAGGTCGAAACACGAGGAAGAAGGACATAGGGATAATTATAAGACCTTAAAAGATGTAATGATTTTATGAATTCCTTGAGTGGAAAGTCTTAAGTCACGTTCTCTTATATTGCCTGATATGATAAAATATTAATAACTTCAAAAAAAAGGGTGAATAAGACCACAGGTGACAATAAGACCGCGTGGTCTTATTGTCCCGAGGTCTTATTGTCCTTTTCCCATCAACCATACCATAATAATATTGACGCTAATTAATTGACACCATGCAATATCGTGTTTATAACTTTAATATTACCATAATACATTATTGGATTCGGAGCAAAGTAAAAGTTTTTTTTTTAATATTACAGTACTTAAGTATTTATGGAAATTTCCATTCAACGTCTAATGTCTATTTTGTCATTTTTTTTCGTCAAAAGTTAACAATATTTTAAACAATTATAACGATTAATACGTGATATTACAATATTATGTGTGTAATTTTTTCACAACATGTATTTTTAACGGTAGGTATATATTCTTTAACTCTCGTACTTGATGTAATTGCGAATAAGGCACCTTTCTTTTTGTTGACTTTCCAAATATCTGTACAGTTTTATAAATTGTTGTGAATCTTTTTCAATGTGCTAAAACAAACGGCAACACTGCATTTTATTGGTTTTTAGTTTATTGTACTTCTTAACTAGATAATAATTATTATATATCAATACTCGCATTGGCGTAATATTGTGTATCATATTGTTGTATTTTGTATATAACTACGTTTTTCTTTTGTTCGTAGGTAAAGGATAAATTTAAAACAACGATAATTGGATATCAATTTAATGCCAGAAAATGTCGTAGGTACACAAATTGAAATAATTCATATTATTATGTATGTAAGACAGAGTTGTCAAATATTTGAGTGCCCAATGCCAGTATTAATCATTTTTATTACCATCGAATATTTATATCATAGTCTACGCGTGTCAATGGATTTGGCTGTTTTGGGTGACTTACGTAAGTATAGGTCTAGACTCCAAAGGTGCCTATACATATTTGAAAATATATCAGGGGGGGGGGAAATTTCACACGACGAGGGCGTCGTTCAATCGAATTTTCTCAGCAAATACGCTTACAATACGTGCTTAACATATTTTCACTTCACGAGGCATTTTATAATATTGGACACATTTTTTTTCCTTTTCATTCAATGAGTTTTTATCTAATTATATATTTTTTCCGATGCAAAAAACAAGGGAAGGGTGGGAACTACTGCTGATCACAATACTGTGCTTAGTTTATATCTATACATCTAAAATGTGCGAAAATTAACAATAGAAACGAAAAACGAAACATTTTACTCACTCGAACGGACATTTGGCCGGACTTGCCGATTACCACCGGATACGACGAGAAAAAGCCATCGTTGATCTGTTCTGGTTGATGTACGGAAATCGTCATGCACACTGTCCTGTCATCGGTGCCCCGATACCAGTCGATTAAGTGATGGCACACGGCCGATATAACACGATGTCTGTAGGTCGTTGTGGTTTGCATCGCTTCCTACACGTCACACAAGTAATATGACATAATATTAATAATTGGGCTTGATCGATTTGGCAAAAAATCAAGTCGAGATTTTTTTTTTAAAAATCAAAAATCAAGTCGCAATGAATGTGAAAAATGTAAGATTAGAAATTTGGATGGACAAAAGTTATGAGTCTCATAACATCTGCTGCACAACTGGAGAACTGGAGTGACTGTTGAAAATTGAAATACGCGTTAATTATGTCAATATTACTATTGTTATTATTTTATTATTATTACAGTGAGACCAAAAAAATATAATAATAATTATAAAAGAAAATTTTTTATTTCAGGTGCGATATGCTTAATATCAACATTGACCAAAAATCAATTGCACTCATGTTCATAAAACCGAAATTGAATCAACTTTTAAAACATTATAATTTTAGTTTGGCAATGATCGATGTAGTCTTAATACAAATTTGTATAGTTACATTATATTAAATAAACAAAAGGTACGTACAAACTGGGGTGTGAAATAATCGTCGATCCAATTCGAAGTTAAAAGATCCATGACGTTCTGCGTTTTCACGGTGCACTGTAATTCATTTTTTCTCGGTTCAAATTTCGTTTTTTTCTTAGCATCGGCTATGTCCATGAAATTTTTACCCCAAACGTATACGTCCGATAATTCGTGCACTTCGCACTGTTGCACACGAAGTGTTCATCGGTACATAATTTATTATATATTTTAATGTGCTTAACGTGATAGTTAAATTATGGCTAAAATATCGAAACCCAAAAATGTATTCATAAATAATATCATAGTGTAAAATATTTTTAAATTTCAATAGAAAATAATGTATTCTTGAAACTTAGCTAAAATATGTCCATGTATGTGAGTATAACCACTAGAGTCTAGGACCTAGGTAAATACTTGTATACCTGAAGATAGTTTTTGAACACTTTTAAACATATTATTATACAAACCCTTAATTTTGAAAAAAAAGTAATCGTTTTTGTAATAATATTACAAAATAAATCTTAAATATACTTCGACGCATTTCTTATTTCTATATCTCGACTATGACTCACAAGCAGTATTTTTATGTATTTTCATTTTCAAAAAACAAACACTCCATTCTACGTCAAACACTGAGTAGGTAAAACGGTTTATAATACCCACAAAATACAATTAACATTTTAAGTATAAAAGATAAGCCTATATGTAATATTATGTTTCGCCATAGGCGACTATTTTATCGAATCTATTAAACCGTGTTGTTGTTATATTTAATATTTTGAAATATTTTATATTATTCATATTTTCGCTATGCATGTTGTAGTGCTCTGCTAGATGTCATAACGAAATCGTCTACATAATACTTGCATTATAAGAAAACAACTCGTCGACGACGACACCATAGACTCGTATAGGTATAGCAATAACAACATTATGTTATTGATGTTATTATAATATATTTCTATCATATCATTATGCAAGCATGGGCATAAACTAGTTAAAAAGTTAAAGTTAAGTAAATTAAGGAATTTAATTTTCATCAACTTAAGTTTTAACCCATCAGTATAAACAGAATAGGTACCTTAACTTGAAGTTACTTTTAATTGAGCTACCTACGTTAGTTTATAAATAATTAAATAATAACTATAATAAAGTTATTATTGATAATGTACATTGCATAAACGTTTACTTTTTATTATTTTAAACCATATTACTGTATTTTTGTGTATTATATATTCAATTTTTTAAAAAATAATTCAAGTTAATAAGTCAATTACAGTGTCCACACAATAAGTTAATACAATTTAACCTCGTTAAAAAAAGATAGAATAATTATTAACTGTTAACATTAAACTTTTAAAAATGTTTTCTATCAAATTAACTCAATTAAAAATAATCACTAACTTGCCCAGCCCCACAGGCTTATCGTGTTATGACACAATATACACGATCTACTTACGTCAAGTTTTCGTGAGATGAGCCCCAACGTTTTGCTCACGTGATGTCTAGACAAACCGGTAAAGTTGCGCTTGTTTAGGCGTGTAGCGACTTCAGCAAAAATCTGTAACCACGTGTTTGACCACGGTCCCATCATGACGATCCTGACATCCGAGTTGGCCAAACGATCAAACGACTTGGCCTGTTACCATATATTTTTATCATATTTTAGGTAGGTACATTACGCGTTACAATAATATTCGAAACTTTATAGTATAATGTAAGCTTATCAGTACTTTATTAAATAAAATGGTAAATTTATATTATTATTATTATTATTATTATTACTAAGTATAGCTAGTTCGCTGATTTCCCGTATCGTTGTTGGTTGTTATTGGTAATATTGTAGCCTTTGGTGCGTTGGGTAAATTGTTCAATACCTGTATATGTCCCTAAATTGCCTATACAAGGCGCCGTCTAAAAAGTATGAATGTCAATAAGTCTAATACATTAAACACCTTAAAATTAACAATAACAAAAGTACTGAACAAAGTATAGGTATATTTGTATCGATTAATATCATATAGGTAGTTAAAAAGTGTTGATATGTATAAAATCATTATTGCTTATAAAGTAAAAAAATAATATATTACAATTTACAGGACAACAAATGATGTCATAGTACCTTGGCAGCTAGTATTATCAATCAATATTATGATTGATGACTAAATGCATTTGATTAATGAGCCATTCTATTTCTAAATTTAAAGTACAAACATAATATTAGCTTTTCATATTTATAATTTTTTATTCAGTAATTATTTAATTTTTAACAATTATTTTTAACAAACTAAGATATTTTTAATAACAATTAATTTACATTTTAGCGTATTGCATAAGCTATAAACTGAATGCCATAAAATTACATTAAAATCAATCATATTTTATATTGATAGACTAAATTTATTTGATTTTTAATGGTGTGACGTAGGTGAGTAATGAATAGACTATTATTTTAGGTTCTGAGAGGAGCGATGACTGTATTGATCTTACAATAATGTGTTACTAACTCGTAAGATATTGTTATAGGAAATAAAAAATATTCAGCTTAAATCCACAATTTTTTATGACCGTCTGAAGTTCAAATTTTGACAAGATTCGTATAAGTCACGAAAATGTGCAAATTATTATGATTTATAAATTCATAAAGTTTTTTTCTTTTTATATCTAAAATTTGTCAATTTAATACAAGATTCCTTTATTAAAAAAATGTCGACCAGAAAGTTAAATTAAATTTTTATGATCGTTTGAAGTCTACATTTTTACAACATTGTATATTCACTCGATTTCTTATTGAGCGATTTTCTTATTTTGCTGTTATTCAAAACCTAATAACAGAATATACTTGAAATTTACAGCGGTATATGTTTATTTTATTATTCTGTAAACTTGATAACATTCGCAAAATATTTCAACTCATTTTGAGTCGTTCATGGTCATTTCCAATTTTCGTTTTTTTTTTTTAAGTGTCAATTAAATGTTATTCGTTGGGTAAAACCACTTGAAAATTAATACAAGGCTCCTCACACATTTTTCCAATATTAGTTTAAAAATATCAAAAATACTTAGCCAAGATTTTTTTTATTAGCATTTAAAGTTCAAATTTCATCAAAATCGATCAAACTAAAAATTAACCAATTATTTTGTAGTTACAAATTTATAAAATTTTAAATTTTAAGCTCAAATTGTTAGAAATTTAAAACAAGGTCCTGCACAAATAGTTTATTGGGTAATCAAAATATCCAAAAAATTCAAATCTAACATATCCAATACTAGACTCACTAGACACCTAATGTACAACAGAGCGTCACCCACTTACCTGCATTTTTACATTCATGATTTTTTAATTTATTAAATTTAAATAATATTTTAACCTCACTTTAACCACGTGCACATAGATTACGGGTACCTATATGCACTTATACTCGTGGCGAATCAAATGGTTGGAAATTGAAATATGAATTTACCGTGCGTGGTATTTTCTTTCAAACCTTAATAGACTGCAGTACGCGAATAACAGTTTAAACTAGTTATACAAATCGATTTTCCGACATGGATGTACAGCCGAGCCAGAAGTTATGAGACGCGCGGTTTAGGTACCTATATATATAATATTATATAGTCTCTCGTCGCTGTCGGTTTAACATAATATAATGCACGCAGATGATTTTCACGATTTACTATTTACGGAGCAACGGTGGAGATAATGACGGTCTCGTATATATATCGGGAATGATTGAGTATAATAATATGTGAGGAGGTCGAGCGTGAAAAACCCACAAACGAGTCTCATTATAATATATTACGTACGTCATTTTGTGTATTTACTATTTTGTACTACATTATTATAATATGGCTATTGCCCGTATGGCCATAATATATATATATAGATATATACACATGATTGTGTAGTATTGTATATATTAGAGTTTTAAATATAAATTTCAACAAGAGAGGCGTCGCGGTCGCGTCGTAAAATCTTATCGCCTGCGGCATGCAGTGTCCGACATACATATGCAACATGTTTATTATAAATAACTGAGTCTTATCTATTTGATTATACTTTTAACGAATATATGATGTTCTTACCCATTTGATATACTTTTGTTCTAACCGTTAGTCAACGATCACCAAACTTTTGTTTGTTTAAGTTTCGCTAAAAAAGAACATTTTTCTCATGTCTCTCTCATAGACAATACTAAATAAAATATGTGGCATTTTTTTTTCTTTTTATACTTATTATACTTTATACTTTATCGTACTTTATTATTTTAATAACTAAATTTTAACAAAAAAAAAAAGAAATAACAGTAACTTGTTTAATTTTATATAGTAACACGAAATGTATCTATGTTAAAATGTTGTTATAGTTGGCTTAAGATCATTCGACTTCCTGAAAATTTTTTAAAAGTGGAAACTCAACCAAAGCACAAAAAATAGTTTAAATGTAGGATAGTACAGAATTTTGCATTTTATTTTTTGATACACAAGCCACAAGGTATAGCTTTTCAAGCTCAAAATGTGATTTGGTCAACCGCGAGTTTTAATAAATGGTTTTTACTTTGCATTTGTTGGTCGTTTTTTGCGTTTCATGACGTTGTTTATACTTGATTGAAAACTATGTAATATTTTTATTTATTTTCATTTACTCTTGAAGTTTTCGATGGCAGTTATAGATCTGTAACACAAATGATAACTTAATTCAATATCAGAATTTTTATAAATACTCGCCATCGATAATAAAAACAATTAGGTTTATAAGAAAACAATAATATTCGATATCTTCAGCTATCTTAATTGTCAAATTAAATGATAGTGATGTGGTGAGTACCCAACCTACGTATGGTTTTACAATACATTAGCTATTTAGTAAGTGTTTTGTCTTTCACGAGTGTGTATCGACATATTTGTACAATATTATGTGGAAACAAAAACCATTTAAAAATTATTTTAGGGTATTTTTTCGGGGGTTTTTTGGGTCATTAAAACCCTAGCCTTAATTACTATACAACCTACCAACTATAAATACGCTCTTATTCAGTACATTCATCAAATTTATAATATACATTCTACATTTCTATATATAACCATTAATCCTTAAAAATTGTTTGTTGAATAAGGTGTGATAACTGTATACAATCAACTAACTCAGAATGTAAGACAACTACGTACAGAGAACATAGACCTGTTATTTCTTATTTAATACTCACTTAATTAATTTAAATTGTCATCCTCCAGTCTCCATCACTGTGTATATCTATGCGTCGGTACCATTGAATTAAATGTTCGCAGAAGTTCGAACAAATACGAATCATCTTATCGATGTAATCATAACGTAATAATGATGTATACTTTCTAATTTTTATACGAAAATGAATCCTCACTGAGACTTGTACAATTTAATAAATCATCGATGTTACTATTTTAATATAATATGAATATTATGACAGAGTAAAATAGTTCTATATATAGTTCTCTATAGCGCTTAGCACTAATATTGCAGTTTGGTCAATTAATCGATAAGTATACTTAAATCGTAATTTCAATGATATAATTATAATTTTTTATTTATGATTTGCTTATCTGCGGTGACGCAACTAGGGGAGTGCAAAAAGGTTTTTAGCACCTCCAAGTTAAAATTTAGCACCCCTTGTTTTTTATATCTAACTTTTCTTATTTTATTGAAATACCATGAATTTTATGTTTTTTTAACTATCGAAAATTTCATGAAAAAATGTATAATTATTTGGTCGTAAGACATATAATATAATTCATTATAATTCATCCAATATTCGGATATTCCTATAATTGTTGGACGATTAACGATAACGTATACATCGTGGAGAAATATAATGTTTACGATCTATTTTTAGTCAATAGGTAATAGGTTGCATCAAAAAGCACTACAGAGTATTTTATTCTATATATATTATATAAATTATAATTTATCATTTAATTTCAATGACATTTTCGAAAATACTAAGTTATAGGTACTATTCCGCTGGAGTAGGTACCTAAACAGTTAACACAAAAATATAAAAGGTTTTAAACTGTGCATGGAATAATAAATTTTAGTTTATTGCGTTGTATAATATTAAAGTATAGGAACCTCTTGAGAACCTGGAATTTACTGCGCTCGCTTTCCTATAACTTGTTTAATTTCTTAGGACAATTTTTTAAAATTTTAAGATTAATATTTTAAATAATAATCAATTATCAATAAGTTAATATTTATATCCGGAGTGCAGAAACAACAAATAATTTTGTTGCTATGGAACACGATAAGTGTTTTATATAATTTGTATACGTCATAACCTATCTGCTTGTCGCACTGAGCACATCTAATTATTTGATATATTATTTACTGTCTGTACAACTTATTTCACTTTCGTAATTTACCCTTGTACTGCATAATTAGCAAAAAATCATCATGTCTGCAAATAGCTTTGCATCGCTTGAGATGAATGTACTGTCAGAAACGGAAGTGATGCGCCAAGTGTTCGTGGATCTGCTGTCGAACTCTTCGAAACCACTGGCGTATCATCGTGGTCTTGCTGGTCCACCCAAGGCAGATGGTACTCCTGCCGGCGACGCGCCACTGGTCGAGCTGTCTTCCGTGACCGACTTGATGCTGATGACGTTTGAGGATCTCAGGACAAATCGTCCAACTCTGACAAAGCGCGGTCAGCCGGGTTCGCCGATGGTTCATTTTGCCATCGTAGTTCCATGTCTTGACTATACATTTAGTGACAAGATTGTCGATTGGTTACACCTGAAATTTAGAATTTGGCCCAATTTTCGAATTCATTTAATGTTTTTAAAATCAGTTTTTGTGCCTATTTTGCGCAAGTTCCATTTTACCGTGTGAATCATGCTTGGTTTATAGGTTAAAGTGTTTGAAGTTCAAACTTTGAAGGCATTTGTTACGCATCTCGCATCTGTAAATAGTACAAAAAATAATACAAAAATCGTCGTTAAAGTGCATTATTGTTGCGATAAAAAAAGACTGAATGCCCAAGGTTACTGAATTCGTTGACGGTCATTATATTATGTTTGACTGTATCAAACATTGAGTATTATAATTCATAATAACCAAAGCTAGTATTCTGCTTAGTGAATCGGCACGTTATAAAATAATATGGTAAATAATTATTATTTATTATATATTATTATGTTGTTTTGTCGGTCACATTCTTTACCTCTTACAGCGTGTGGAATAAAAATGATAATTAAAGTACAATATTAAATCGAACGAATATCCCGAGAAAATAAAAAAAATAGTATCATTTTATTTCTAATATGGTCAATTTACAACAAGATCATGTACACAGAATATCTTCAACAATAAAATAATGATTCAAATAAATGATCGGTGACTATTCCACACTAGTAAATAATTAAATTATGAACATTTAAGTGATTAATATTATTCGGATATTTTATCCTGTGATATTTTTACTAAGACTGATGGACTAACCTCCCGACTGTTTAATGATGACAGCAGGTGTTTTTGTCAGCATTTTGTCTCTGAAGAGGCACATTAACATATTACTTCATTGAATATAATATAATATTATTTACAGACATATTAAAAAAAATGGTATACCTGTAAACCTATGCAAGTAATAACTAAATGTATGCTTAATTGCATATTGATGCGTATCTATTCTATAGATAGGACTCGTGACCGTCCTCATTCTTTATTTATTTATTTGTTCAACAATTTTGTTCAAAAATAACACTGTCAAAGTGTCAAATAAGTAAATAACACATAAATAATTTATAAAATTAGTTTGTCATACTTTCAAAAATCTATACACAGCTATATAATATGTAGAATGTACATAGGATGGTTCCCCGGGCTACCCCGTTTACCGTATCATCCATTTTATTTAATAATGCAGTTATTCAAAACATTTTTTTATACTTTTGGATATGTAAATGTTTACATAAATACCATATTTTCGAATAGATACTTGAGATTTTTCGTACCACTTAATTGTGTCCAGCATACTCCACCGTGGCGATACAAACTTTAATTTTTCAAGTGAACCACCGCTTTCTTTTAGTATAAACTATTTTGTAGATAGTTTGATCATTTTAAAAACATAAAATGAAATATTGAATCTAATATTTAGCATATGATTGAACCATTTTTACAAATTATCAAATGTTGATAGATTAAAATTAATAACTATAATTTTCAATTCATTGTGGCCCCATAATTATCCCTTAGTAAATAATGTAGAAACCACCGTTGTCATTCAAAAAGCAGAAGTTTATATCACCACAGGACACTTCTTAAATGGCTTAAATATTACAAAATTATAATAAACGTTCGAAAATACTGTCTTTGAGTATATTTAAAAATTCTAAAAATCATTTTTATAGATTGCAAAATAACTGCATTATTGAAAAAAGCGGATTGGGCAATGAGCGTGCATGGTGATGATGCTCTATGATCAATATTAATGCATTGTTTATAATATGCACATTGACTTATATTATAGGTTTGCGTCAAAGTGATGATTTGCAAGTATAAAAAATAATGCACTTATAAAAGTATAATTCTGTATATTATTTTTATATCATCGTTAATTTGACGTGTTTAAATAGGTGCCAAATCAGTTTTGGACGCGCGTATACAATACACGGGATTTTTTTACTCTAGACCATTAGACGGCCGGACAACAACAGATTTCGTTAATTTTAAAACAATACATGATTTCGCATTGTTCGCGCGTATCTACCTTGAAATTAATGAATTAAAATCTCTGACCTTAAAGGTCTATATCCCATACACAAATTCCGCGTCAATAAGAGCCAATAAACCTTATATAACAATGGCATCGGAGTGGGACTTATAAATCACTGTAAAACCGGGGAAAAGCAGTAGCCTCCATTTCACTCAATGTCACTACATACCAATGTTTTGGGTATAAAACTGAAGAGCGTTGTGTACAGTTGTTAAATCATATTATTCATCGCCATGCATTCCAAAGTGACGTCCGCCGCGTGGCTTTTAGCCATATTATTCATAAGTCAAACTGTAAGTATACACTCATTTTTTCACATTAAAAATATTTCTTAAATTGTGTTTCACGCTTATAAAGCCCTTACTTGTCTTGTCTAGACGGGCGTTCGATTAGTTTAATATTATAATACTATATGCTTTTTACTAGATCCAGCTATATGAGTACTATGTGACTCGATGCAACTAGATTCTAAAGTGTATTTCTTTTTTTTCTAAACTATTTTTTAGACAGGTTGTTTTATCATAGGGACGGTAAGAATCTAATAACTGACAGTAACCAAAAACTAGAACCTAATGGTACTTATCACGTTCATATTGATTTTCTTATATTCACTGCATATTTTACAAATAGATATTATTTATGTGTCTGATGCTGTGAGTTGCTTTATATAATAGAAAAAAGATAAAATAGCGATCCGCACACCCAACGATCTAATATACATTTCTTATGGTTTGAAATCAATCGATATATAATTTTAATGCGCTGCAACACTGAAGAATAAAATATCAGCTAAAATAATTTTACTGCTAGACGTATAATAATATGTAACGGATGCTAGTGACGCGGCCGCTGATTCAGGTGTAATCGTTTTAGATATGCCAAGATAAAGACGATAAAGACGATAAAGATGATAAAAAGGATAACTCATCAGGTAGCAGTGGTAATAAAACAGGTAGTGGTAACAGAACCATTCCTACAGGTATCGGTAACATGACATTCAACATGAACGGCATGTCCGGCATCCAACTACCGTTCCCGTTTTTCCCGCCATTCGGATGTGACTTGACATGCCAACCGATGCAGTTACAAGTATTTCAGCAACAACAAGTACAGCAACAGCCAGTGACGACTAGTAAGCCTTACAATAATTTTAATATACTAATCGACATGGGCGGATAGGTATTTTTTTTACCGGGATATATATATTAGGGCCACATATACCTGCCGCCTATATATTGTATACAAAAAAAATTTAACTTCTTATGAGTTTTATCGTTGGCACATTTATTAAAAAAATCTGGATCCATTCTTTTTCTTTTTGAAGCCCCACTTTCGAAATTGCATTATTTAATGATTAATAATTATCATGTATATTTTTTAATAAATTAAAACACAATTATCGAAACCACTGTCATAATAGCAAATAGGTAAAGTAAAATAAAAATAATAACACCTGATATACATTGAAAATAATACAATAGGGCATAGAGTAAGAAATAAGAATAGGTAAATGATATTATTGTCCTTACTTTATAGTTTATACTGTTTATTAATGTTGATGCAAGATAAAACGATATTTTAGACATTCATATTAATGTGCATTGTTTAAAAATAGAACAAATTGAATTTATTACGATACAAAGATATACATATAAACGTAGATCGTAGATACTCTCACTAATCAATAAAATTAATTATTATTATGGTTGTTTATTTTTGTTATTCGGACATCGGTTATATTTATTTATATTTACATTTTATATATTATTTAGTTTAAGCACAAAAGTACATACAACAAAATACATATGTATTTATAAGGGTATCGACGATTTTATACTGAAACCCCTAGGCCCAAATGGAGTATACAAATATTACAGATACGCATTAATACTGTACAGCCAACAGGGTAACAGGGTGCAATCTAGTATTATAAAAATTTACTTTTATATTATTATTATTTTTTTTACAATTTTTTTGGGATTGAGGCCCCTGAGTGTAATATTGTTGAGGGCCTAACGGGAAAATCCCGATTTCCCGATGGCCATATCCGGCCATGCTAATAAATGGTAGGTACCAGATGTGTAAACGAAAACCAAACTAATGTAAAAAAATTCAAAAAAATTTAAAATGCATACAAACCATATTAAATGAAATCCAAGAAAAAACGTGTGCTGATTTTCATCGTCAATAATATCAATTTAAATCAGAATTCAGTGAAATACGTATTTTACACGACAATGAAATAAAATATAATAATATACTTACTTATATACTTAATATACTTGCAGTAAGCCAACGTGTGATTCAAATATTTTTAAAATATTATGACATAATTATGTATGAAGTCTTTCATATTATGGTTTATGGCGTTTATGCTTTTATGAATGATAATTATTTTTGATTTCAAAAAAAAAACTTTTGCGACCCCAAAACTATATAATCGATAAAGAGAATCTAAAATCAGAGAACTTTTAAAGTAATAATTTTAATGTAGTAAACAATTTCGGTACTTCACCTTCAGTAGAAAATTCATATGATTTTGTCTTAGGTAACCAAACGTTATCCAAAGTAGTCCAAACATATTTTTAATAATGAAAGGTTCTTTTTTTAACATTTCTTAAAAAGTATATACATTTAAACATTTAAATCGTTCTTACTGCTAATTTTTCCAAATTAAATTATAATATTATTATGCTATAGACGCATGGGCGTATTCACGGGGGTGGGCATATTAAGGATGGATCCCCCTATGGCCTTTATTTTTATACACACTACTAGTGCTGGGGGGCATTTTATCTTAGAAATAATGAAAATGAAAATTCATGTCTACGTCGCTGAATATACGCGAACACAACGATCAACATAAATTCACATTTAATATTTAAAAAGTGTTTACCGTTCAATATTGGTACATTATATTTTATTATTGTATTATAATTTATAGAGACTTTTAAAGTTGTGAGATGATCCCACTTTGAATTTACTGTCGTTTTTCACATTTCCTTCCTAAGATTTTCCCATCGACAACTTATGAATACATCCATGATAATTCCGTACACACAAATTAACGCCATTCTGTTTTCACGATTTCAGCCACACAAGCTCCGACGACCACGAAAAAGCCGAAAACCACAACACCAGCCCCTAGGCCGGCACCGACGACCACGACGTACACCTCGCAAACGGTCATTATGTACCCGAACTGGTAAGCAAGTACAACGGTGTCAACCCGTTACCCTTGTGTCGTTATAGGCACTTAATTATAGCCTCGAAAATATTGTGTCGCCACCGCGCCGTTCCGATCGGTAAAAATCAATTTATCGGCGGCACTTGTGCAATAATTGATGCGTATAATAAACAAAAATTGAAACGTCATTGAATTATGTTACGTCGATCGGCTGTCGTGGGCGTAACAATATTAATAATACGATTTTCAGGTGCCAGGGCTGGTGCAGGTTTTTCTATCAACCACCACCGCAGCCGGTGTTTTACCAGCCGAACTGTTTACTGTTTTCGTGGATGGGAATGGGATCGGGAATGCCCATGGGAATGCAAACCACGACTTCTTCGTGAGTCTTTCGTGGACTCGCCCGCAGTGTTCGACAAACTGCTCCAACGAAACAGTCGTTATCGGCGTGGTCCCATCATCATGTACTTGCGTGTAATATTTAATTTTTTTGTTTGCTCGTTTGTTATTTAAATATTATTACAACATATTGTCAACAACAAAGATAATAAAAAAAGAACAATTTCAAATAATTTTGTTTTATTGTTATTTTTAATAAAATCAATTTTTTTTAAAATCATTTTTACACATTACTATTCACGAGAACAATCGAATGATATGAATCCTTAAATCGTAAGAGCAATTCGTATCTATATACAAAATAAATATGTTTGTATATATCAATAAATAATATTTTACTAGGTAATTATCGATTAATACTAACGAGATATTGATTATAATAATTGTATTTATTTATTGTTTTCTTAAAAAAGGACAGACGGTGAGATGTCACGTGGAAATTTTCTTAACTAAACCAATGAAAATAAATTAACAATTATATCGTTCATAATATTGTAGTCAACACCAAATAGTCTTACTTATAAAAAAATAATTATAAGTAGAAGTTTAAAAAATAATAATAAAAATATCGAACAAACAAATTAATATCAGAACGAAGAAAAAAATAACAATATTTATTATTTTTGAAAAAGTTTTTGATTTGATTCCACAAAAAAAAATCAACTGCCTAAGGTACAACAATAATAAGCGAGTGAAACTTAATAGAATAGTTTAAAAAATGTAAAGTATTTACACTAAACAGTTGGTTTTTTTTATACATATTATTTTTGGTGCAATTAGGTAGGCTTATCTTTGTACATTCATTACGGTTCTATGTCCGTCATTGAGTCATCGTTATCCAGCAGACTTGTCACATACATACCATAAAATCGCGGTGTACCCACTAGAAAAAATCTCAGTATGGTGTATAATGCGTATGCTAGTATGAAGCGACACATTACCAGTCGCATCGGCGGTGACAACGACAATAACTCAACAACAGTCGCAGAACATTACCAAACCTACTTATCTAGTGTACGATTTCGTTAAAACTACACGATATTATACAAATAAATATATTTAAAAATTACAAAATTATAGTAGAATAGGTACTCATTTACACTAATAATCATAATAATAATCATAATAATAATAATAATGATAATAATAATAATAATAATAATAATAATAATAATAAATAAAAGGCTTAGAAACCAAACGGACCGTATCGTTACGTCTATTCGAAGTGTATATTCTAACATAAAAAGTATTTGACATCTTATCTTATACCTTCAAAACGTAATTCCTCCCGATTTTTTTTTACAGATATTAGTCTCTTATTATCTAGAACTATTAGTTAAATGAAATAAATCGGGTTGATCCGCTTGGTTTCTCAACCCTTCGAATAACACTATAAGTCTTATTTTAACAGGTCTCAAATAGTTCCCAATGGTTTTCGGTTCGAATATTATAATTATTGCATTATATAATATAAGATATTTTTTTTTTATAAGTGAAAAACTTTCCCAAGACTAGAGACCGTGATAGACTAGAAAAAATTGTTTACATCATGGAACTAAGAAATTGTTGACGCTGTACTTAAAGATGTGACAGTCTTTCTAGTTGTTTTAAACTGTTTTAGTTGAAGGTTGTTTTTCACACTAACATTAAATTTAAACAAAATAGTAAGTTATAATAAAGAAACTATATAATCACAAAAAAAATATTATCACTCACAAGTGATACAAATCAAACAATTTTTGGGATGCGTATTTAAGTCTAAAAAATTGCACATTCTTTATATTTATATATATATATAATATAGTATATGATTTTTATAATAATATATGTATATGTATAATAACTATTTACAAACGGTGTATACAAAACGTTATAAAAAAATTAACTATGTCATAATCTGTTACTCACGCAGGTTGTGGTAACATTTCGTTGGCCTAATCTCTAAAATTCGTTGTTCCACGATTTCTCTTCCTTAACACTGATAGCTTCCTGTTCGTGTTCGCCATCTGATTCTTGTTTTAAGGAACTGGCTTCCGATGGTGTGGATCTACCAGACTTGTCTTCGTCGTGGACATCCGACGGTTCCACTCGAATGGTCTCCGACCTTCTTCTTTCGGTGCAGCCATCGGCCGCTTGCATTACACAAACGCCATTTATTATTACTTCGGATTGCTGCTGTTGCTTCTGTTCTGATTGCAACCAATCTGGGTTGACCCATTGTGGAGCAGCTGGTTTTCGGCGAGAACTTCCGACTACGGGTACGGCCGGGATTTCTTCTCGAGGCTCCGATTCTTCCGACCGACTGTCTTCATCATCAAAGTCAGTGTCTACTTCGTGTTTTACGCTTAAGTCTAAACCGGACATTTGTTCGTCCACCGTGGCCGAAGAGGAAGAAGTCAACATTGGTATGAAGGAAGACAAATCGGCGCCGTGTTGTAAATAAGGGTTTCCTGCGTTGAACGGAATTGGTAAGCCACCGAAACCAAGTCGATGGCTCAAGAGAATCCTAAACTGAATTGGGTCGAATCCAGGACCAGTTTGTGATTGTTGTTGCTGTGAATCAGAGTGAGGCGATTGTTGCTTGATCCTCATTCTATGGTTGTGGAACCAGTTCGTTATTGTCCTAGTCGCTAAATTTAACTCCGATGCAAGAAACTCAATGGTACCGACACTCGGGTATTGATCCAGGGCAAATGCTAATTTCAATGCTTCTTTTTGTTCATCGGAAAACAGAACCTGAAAAAAAAATGTGTTATTATAATGGCCATATTAAATTTCCGAAAAATTCTAAAATCAACGATTAGAACCATAAAATGGTTGTTTAGTATTTATATAATTCTTACTCGTTGTTTTTTTGCGGCGGATGGAGGACTACTAGTGCCACTGTGATAAAAATCTGAAGTGTCGTTTGAGGATGTATCACTTCCATTATCTTGTTGGCCAGATCCTCGTCTTCTTTTGTTCATCTCTCTGCGTTCACTTTTAATAGCTTGCAATCTTTCTACATTGTGTTGATCAGATAGCCAAAGTTGCATCCGAATGAATGGTTCACGTCCCTTAATGCTCAGCATATGCCATGGCTTAGGTTTTGATAGCAATTCACTGACTGATCCTTGAGAGAGTCCCAGTACAGCTTCACCGAAAATCTTAAAAAATATATGCAGTTAGTAAAAAGTACTATTTATTAATTAAAAACAAAAATATTTACTTTTTGTCCAATATTATTAGCAAGGAGTGCTTCTTTGATTTTAGTGGTTATAGTCTGTGTGTCGAGATCTTGCGTTAGAGCAGCCATCTCGTAGACTGAAGGTACAACAGCTGGTGGGTGACGTGTTCCAGAATTTTGGAAAGCTGCAGCCACATGTTGTAACATCAGGTTTTGCGGAATTCCATTGTTTGGTATTGGGCTTGCTTTAAGTTTATTTTCAGTGACCATCATCGATGCCAGTTGACTTCCAGTCGACATTAATGATGAAGCAGTAGATGAAGTTGCGTGGTGATGTCCACCTGGAGACTGAAGTTGAATATGATGGTTGCTCGGTGACTGTAGTGAAGACGCCATATCAGAGTCTTCTGACATTGTTGTAGATGTGTTGCACATTGAGGTAAGTATATGATGATGCGGTGTTTGGCGATCCACATCTGCACTAACTTTTAAGAGATCGAGAGGTGATGGGGTCATTTTACCACCAAAAGTGTGAGTTGATTTTACTAAGTTCTGGTTCATAGCTATAAATGAAAAATAAAAATATTAATACATGGGTACTAAAAAATGTATTAAAATATTCAATTAGTGTTTTTTTTGGTAGTTCTAAATGATAATATACTTACGACTTGATCCCCCATATCCTCCAGTTCGCATAAGCTTTTCTGGTGCTATTTTGTATTGAGAAGCAACTAGTTTATGCACAGCTTTATCATCTTCCAAAAACATTTTCATTCTTATGAAGGGTTCTCTTCCTTTTTGAGTCAACATATGCCATGGTTTTGGTCTAGCCAAGAGATCGGACACACTTCCTTGAGAAAGACCCAATACAGATTCTCCAAACAGTCTCTGACTGATTGAAAATTGACTTAGTTGCTCTTTGACTTTCCTCACAATTTCTTCAGTATTCAAATTGTTGAATTGATCAAATTGTTGTTGAGTGATTGGAGGCAATACAGCTTTCAGAGGTCTCTGCGAAGGAGAATGATGATGTGGAGTAGCGGGTTGAGAAATTAAAGCATTTGTAATTGAAGCCATTCTTTGAAGTGGACTGACTGCAGCTGATTGACCAAAGTCTTCGGGAGGTAAAATAGTGTTACCTAATGGTGAGCTAGCCGAGCTTCCTACAGAAGATGTACCACCTAATTTGAACAAAAACAAACATAAATATACATTGTAGTATAGGGTACATAATTTATACATAGGTGGTATTATACTGTATGTATACTGAATGTATAAAAACTATTTATGATATATTATTTTTTTATTACACATGTATTTTTTTGTTATGCCATATTTAAATTTTCCATACAACTCACTTTGTTCAGTTTTAGGTCGTACAAGCGAAAAAGCACTTCCGGCCTGTTTCATTGCTTCTGCTACAGTTTCAGACTCTTTGTCTGAAACCTCAGTACCATTTACTTTAACAGCAAAATCTTTTCGCTGTACAAACGGATAAATATCTTTTCTGTCTTTTGGTAAAGACAAATCTTGAGCAATACCAGTTCCTTGTATGGTATTGTTATTGTTATTATTGTTGTTGTTTGACATCGCTGCGACGGCAGCTTGTTGTTGAAGAGCTAACAATCCTGACAATTGGCTCTGTGGGCAGTTTTGTAATTTTGATAATTCTCGGTGGTAGGCATCCAATGCAGTTCGAATATCATCGTGGTTGCCGGTATGATTTCCGAAGAAATGAGGGAAGAGCCAACTAAAAACATTTTTTCGATATTAATAATCATAAAATTATTAATTTGAAAATCTTAATGATAATAATAACTAAACTCACCCTGCAAACGGCTGTTCGCCACTTCTCATAGAGTCTTCCAATCGCTTACCCATGATTTTTGATAGCTCTTCTTGATACAATCGGGCCACTTGTTCTTGTGGTATATCTTCCTTAGGTCTTTGTCTGGACGGGGAAGTATTCTGTATAAAATAATTAAAATTAATACAAATA